GGGGTCCCCAGGCCTGACAGCGAATGATGGGGCGGGGCCCCCGAGTGGGCTTCTTGCTTCTCCAGGCCCGAGCCGGGCTGTGCTGGGCGCGCTCCCTCCGTCTGCAGCGGGGGCTCCGGCCTTCCCTGCGGGGATCAGGGGGGCTCCGGCGGGGCGGGGCTGGACCCCAACTGTTGCTGCGGAGGTTGGGGGTGGGGGCGGGGGCGGACCTCGGCCAGGCTGGGTGGGTCTGTCCCCAGAAGCAGCCCAGGGCGGGCAGGAAGGTGGTGCGTCAAAACGGCCTGTGGAGGCATCCAGTGAGGTCCCCACGCCCCGTTTCTGTGGAAGCCGGAGCGGGAGGGAGTGGCCCGGCACTCGACCTTCTCCTCCCGGCAGGTCCCCCACTTCCCTTTGCTCCCCTGCGCCCAGCCCCCTGTACCCCCCTGCGGAAGCCTCCCATCTCTCACTCCGCTCCTTCCCTCGGGCAGAGTCTGGCCCCTCCCCGACAGGGGCGCCCCGTGCTCTGCAGGTAGAGGGGGCTCCATCCAGGAGGGCGCGGCGCTGGCAGAGCTCCTATCATTGGGCAGGGCTGCCGGCCTAGGGCGCCTGCAGCTGAGGGTCCCCTCCCACCCCCATCTGGAGCCCCGAGAGCCTGTGGCGCACAGAGGGGCGCTCCGTGCCTTCAGCGGCAGGTGACGTTGGGGACAGAAGAGGAGCGTCAGGAGGGAGGTGGAGTCACCAGGCTCGGCCACTGTTGGGGTCCAGCCCCAGCAGGTCCAGGGGTTCCCAAAGGTGTGGACAGAGACCAAAAAGAAGGAATGACTCAGAGACAGCGCTCAGTTGATCAGCAGTCTAGCCAGATTCTAGCCAGGTTCTCTTTTTGTTCTCCTGTTACATATTTATACCATTTGATTTTAATCCTATCCATTCTATTCCAAACGTTGGGGCATTTGTTATCCCCATTCCAAGGTCACTACTCTACTGTTCTGTTAAGCTACAAGGAAGTAACTGAAGGAGATTATCCTAAATAAAGATTATGTATCTTAAGCGTGATTGTTCGTAGTTAAAGTGATTAATTATCGGCCTTTTACTTAGTTAAGCAGTTTTACTGATTCCCTTCCTTAGTCCTGTTAATCCCTAACTCCAGGGAAAAATCCACACCTGGGGAAACAACCTTTCTCGCAGAGGTGACCCTGGTTAGAACACATAGTGCTAAGGAGGGGAGCAACCATATTAAGAACAGTATGCCATATACGCCAGGTCCCTTGAAACATATGCTGTGCAGATGTTTCTTCCCTGCAGCGACTGTGTCAAGCAGCAAGGATGGACTGGCTTCCGCAGTCCACAGCTAGTGAGCTTGGGGAAATCACTTCCCTTTTGAGCTGCAGCTGTCCTGGCAGCAGATGCAGGGTTTCCACCCTCACCCCCACCAGTGCCCCTTCCATGGTGAGAGATGAGCGCCCTGCACCCACCGCACTACTGCACCTTCATCTCGGTGACTCCCAGCAGCTGGACAGAATGTGTGTAGAGAGAGGACTGTGCTGGTCATGCAAACGCTTGCTACCGCCAGGCCAGGGGCTGTGGTCTCCACATCAGGAAGTCCTGGAGGGAAAGTCAGGGACACCACGGCCCCTTCCCCTGGGACAGTGGCAAAGAGGCAGGCCTGTTGGGTCCTGTTCCCCCCTCTCAGGACACCGCCATCCTCACACCAGAACTTCCCTTCCTCTCCTCACTGGGGCCTCATTCCTTCCTCGCAGCCCACCCCCATCCATGTGGGTGGGTGTACTCAGCATCTAAACCCCTCTGTCTGCAGCCCAGCCAGGCGCCTACCCCTCCCTGGGCTGAGGCAGGCAGGGCGGCTGATATCTCTCTTCACAGAGGTTCCCGCTGGGTC